GTCTTTTAGCCTGCCCTCTCCCTTCAGAGCCATCCAAAGTTAACACGTTCCTTTGGCTGGCCCTTTATTATTGCAGGTCTGGGGTTAAACTTTGGGTTGCTTTTCAGACAGAAGAGCTCTAGTATCTTCTTCATTTCCAAGCTGAGGACCAAGAAATATTTGAAAATATTTATTACAAACCTACTATGGGACTTCTGCTTCGGAGTCACATGGAGAGACACTTGCAGCACAGCACCGTCCCCTAAGAACAACTAGGTAAACCAGTTGAAACCCGAAAGTCACCTGTTTTAGAAGCCACCGAAGAGCTGCTTAATCAATAAGGCCTAGTAGAGTAGTTAAGTTTCTAGAGAGGAAGTCTGCAATGGCTTTTTATGCAGGGGCCCTGTGGATTCAGGGTGAGTGCAACAGACTCGGAGTCTGAGCTGTACCTGGGAAGATTCATAGAACTAAACAGAGCCTGCAGCACAGGCCTGGTTTCTCCTGAAGACACTCACTGAATTCTGAAACTGCACACGGGAGGAAACGGAGAAGCTAAGCTGAACAGATCTAAAAGGCTAAGTGGAGTTTTCTGCAGTCTGGAGATGTTGCGGACACAAAAGTTGGAGTGCAGCACTTACCAGAGGTAGGGGTCTGTGGGTACAACAGGCTCTCAGTGGAAGCTTGGAAGGCTAGACCTCAGGAGAGGGGCAGACCAGAGGAGACTTACTCAGGTGAAAATTAAAGATAAAATAGACAGCTTTCCCCCTAAAGACATGGAAAGAAGTAAGGATGCCTGCTCTTACCACATCTATCCAACATTGTCCTTGTAGTCCAAACCAATTGCAATGATGCAAGAAAACAATAATAGGAAAGGAAGTAATAAAATAGACATTATACATACATTCTGTATGGAGAAAATTCAAAGAAATCTATAAACAACTTAAATTTAATAAACCTATTTAATATGGCCTCTAAATTTAATCCAAGGAAATCTAAAAACAACTTAAATATAATAAACATATTTAATATGGTCTCTAAATTGAAGGTCTGAATAGAAAATCAATTCTATTTCTATAGACCTACAAGAAAGAGACAATGAAATCTTAGTTATATCATTTGTAATAACACCCAGAAACATTAAATACATAGGAATAAATCTTTTAAAAATATGTGAGATTTGTGTACTGAAACTACAAAGCATTTTTGAGAGAAATAAAAGACTGAAATAAGTGGAAGGACATATGATGTTCAAAAATTGGAAGACTCGTACAAAGACTTGTACAAAGGACATCTCTCCCTAAATTCCTTTATAGTTCATGCTCTTCCATGACATTGCACGTGTGTATTTGTAAATTAGTTAGCTGATTATAAAATTTATATGAAAATGCAAGGACTAACAATAACCAAGAAAATCTTGGGAGAGAGTATGGAGTTCAGGGGAGGCTTTATGGAGAGATTTTTGAGCTAAGCCTTCTGGGGATAGGTGATAAGTGGAATTTCATTAGGGTCTGGAACCATATCTACTTTGTTGGAATAATCTTGATACCTATCACAATACCTGCCTGATGCATAGAAAACTCAGTAAGTATTTGTTAAATGTTCATATGGATGGATGGATGGATACTTGAGATAAGGTCCTTGCAGGTTAAGACAGGATGTAGAAGTAAAGGCAAAGAAACACAAACATACATTACACTGAGTAGTCAAGTATGACTTAAGCTTATGTGTGAGATATCAGAAATGGAGGCTTGAAATTTAAGATAGAACAATATTGTGTCTGAATGCTAGGCTTATAGGATTTGGACTTTATTCTTTAGGCATCTATTTGAAGAAGTAAAATTGTTGACAGGTTGGAAAATGAATTGCGCCAGTGATAGGTTCTCAGGATATAATCATTTAGACTCCACAAATTTTAGAGATAACTAGAGAGCATCTAGTCTAAGGGTTTGCAAATATATATTATTTTAGGTTGAACATTTTCTTATTTAAAAGAAAAAAATATCCCTGACGGGAAACATAAATAAAGCAAAAGGCCATCCTGGGTAAAGCTAAGACATCTCTCCCTAAAGCAAATTCTGAAGGCCTTCCTTGGAGCACACTTGAAAGGCATGGATCTAGCCTAGCACATTTATGTGTAAAACAATTGATACCCAAGTAGGTCATATGCCTTCTCCAAGGTCACAAGAACATAACTCAGTCTTATTTTCTACATTTTTCCTCACACCAAAAAATGTTACCCCTCACATTAAAATACATGTAAATCATGGGGTAAGAAACAACAATCTTCCTGACAAGTAACTTTCCCACTCAGTTTCAAATATCCTGAAATTCTTCACTATAGAATATTGCTTATAGCTTTATGATTTGCATCTTTATTAGTTTTTGATCATTTACACAATAAAGAATTTTCCTCTCAGTATAAGAATTCTTTCCATTTCAATTTGAAGCAATATCTATCCCTCTGATAGTAGTAAATGATTGGAGCAATCTTGATGCAATATCTACAATGTTTTTTTTAATATGTTCAAGTTTTAAAAGATACATAACTTGAAGCTAATCAATAGGAAACAACAGAAAAATTGGAAAGTGAGGGATATTCTACAAAATAACTGTGAGTAGTCAAGTATGACTTAAGCTTGTGTGAAATTTTTAAACATCTTGAAAATTAAGCAAATACTGAGGAATTGTTCCAGAATGAAGGAGATTAATGAGACATGACATCTAAATGAAATGTGTGATTCTGAACTACAGCTATTTCTCATAAAGGATATTGTTGAGTCAATTGGTAAATGTTGAATTGGGTCAAAGAATTAGATGGTGGTAACATATCAAGGTTAACTTCCCAATGTTGATGATTGTATTTTGTTTATAAAAGAGAATGTTTTTATTTGTACCAAATATTCACCAAAGTACTTGATGGTGATGAGAATTCAGATTTGTTCCTTATTCTCAAGGATTCAGGGGAAAATAAGATTTTTTTGTTCTGTGCTTGCAACTTTTACAAGTGTTTGAAATTCTCTCAAAATAAAATTTTATCTTACATTGTTAAAAATAAAACTAAAGATAAAATATTGACCAATAATGCCTAGAACAGAGCCAGAAATGTGCAAAACAGTCTTTAAAAAATTAAGTTCTGATAATTTAGGTTCACTTTACATGCTATTAGAATCTTAAGTCAGGTTAAATTCTTTGGAAAATTCCTTTAAGACTTATAAATGGTTGTATCCCATCCAAAGTAGAGGAGTTGGATATTTAATCAATAGAGCCACACAAATTGAGTAATTTAGGTACAAAGTGGATGAGAATAGAAGTGTGGCAGAGGAGGCTTAATTATCTGCTTTAGCAAGCTAAGTTGATTAAATCAACTAAATCATTGTCTATTCTCCCTTTACTTCCGAATACAAAGAAACAGGCCTAGGCTCTTTCCACTTTGAGAAATCTATCTGCTCCCAATGGGACCATTGGAACCAGGATGGGCTGATGAGTATTGCTTCTTCATCGACCATCATGGGGACTGCTTTATTAATTCAGGAAATCAATCACCCCTCTGGCTTCAACTACAATTTTCACGCTATTTTTTCTTAGTCTTCACACACAGCTCAATTCCTCCCCTTGAGCTCTGAAATTTCTAGCTTTCTATTGCATGTCTCTATCTCGATGTCTATCTACCTTCACCTCAAACCCAACCTTTCCAAAACTAAACACCACTCCCAACTTCTTGATTTCTCTTAATGGGACTAGCATTCTTCCAATCACCCAAACTAAAAAACCTAGTATCATCTTTGATTACTTCACCACTCTAACTCCTATAGTCAGTGAACTACTATGTTCTGTAAGAAGACATCATATTCATCTTTTCTTTTCAGTGGCCACTGTCAACATATCAAATTGGGTTGTAAACTCTTAGCTGGACAAAAGTGAGTTGTATGGACACAGGCAGTAAAATTTTTTATGTCTCAGTGTATATATTAAAAGTGCATAGATAAATGTACTCAAACCATGACCTAGTTGTATATTCTTCACTACCTATCTACACATTTTAGTTAAGTCATGCTAAATTATGGCTACCATCTAGCTACTTTAATCATCTCTCAATTCTTCTTTCTGAGTTTAGTTTCTTCATAATCCACTTACACACTGCTATGCAACTTCTTTAATGAGGAGCTCTGATGCCCCAAAACATCTGCTCAGAAATAGAGACTCATCCCAGCCATCTAGCCTTGTCAGGTGACCCCTACCTACTTTTGTAAATTATAAAAGGCTGTATAGACATGTGTCACTGTTACCATTAACATTATCACAATCCTCCTTCACCTTTGCTCAGGCAGTCCAAGCAAACCTAGCAGCATTTTCCAAATTTTTTTTTCCTGTAATGCCCACTGCTACTTCCACGTCAGTAACTCAAGAACCTGTTGTTACTCCCTGTAGACTAAAGCTTCCTGATACTTCTTTCTTACACTAATTTTATTTATTCTGCACTTCAATCAAAGTTTCAGAATGTACTCTTCACTTTCTGTTCCCACACTTCTGGGATTCCACCATTCACCATCCTTCACAGAAATGTTAAGCTCTATCTTATTAGAGTCCATTTCCCAGTCATAACACCCTGTTCAAAACTCCAGTGGCACCTTTTTTTATGTTCACTTGTCCAGTCATGCATTCATTGAGGACCTCAGTTCCTGCCTATGAGTTTATTCTCAGAGAGAAAGACTAAACACTAAAAGATACTTTCACATACAACATTTCTGAATGGTCCAGTTGGCTAGGTGGCCTTATTATCCTTATACACCATTGAGGAAACAGATGAGGAGAATTAAGGGACTTAGTAGAATTCAAATCCAGTTCTGTAAGATTTAATTGCTTTTTTCTATTATCTTGTTGTAAGTTGTTTTTGCATTCATTTATGAGTATTCCAAATCATATCTTCTAGATATCAATTCTTTGAGGTCCGGGCAATGTGTTCAATATTAGACTCCTGGCCTATACCGTGTATTTACTAAGCTAATACTTATTGCAATTGAATTGAATTGTATTGGTTTAATTTCATTTCTGGAGACCACCCATTTTTGATAATATGCTTTCTAAGCTAGTCATGATATTCTTCCTTTGATCTTTTGTTGTTTGCATACTTGCCAGAAATATTTCTACTAAATATTCTTACCCCCTGGCATGGATGGTCCAAATGCCTTTTTCTATTTGGTAATTTGCTTTGCATCTCTGACGAGAATTGCTCTTTGAAACTTTTTTTCCTCTAAATAGGCTGTTTTTCATGCTTTATTACTTTACACACTTTGCCACCTGTCAGTGTTTCATCCCTATGAAAACATTGACTAAGCAAATTTTAATATGATATATAGTGTAAATAACAACAAGAAAATTACTGTCACCTAGTTTAGATCCTAAGAAAGTACAGGGCCTCTAGATTAGAGATGGGATTGCTTGGAAAACCAGAAGATTGCTTCCTTTGGAGCAAATGTATAATATAAGAGATTCTAGTGCGGGCTCAAGAAAAGTACATAGATGAGATATACATCTATTAGTATAAATATTTGTTAACTTATCCCATGATTCTTAAGTGGTCCAGCCTCAGATAAACTTAGATTTGTGGTCTTCTTCATAAAATGTGTGTTAACTCAAATCTACATAGTTTCATGAGTATTATCAGAGATCATAGCATTTTGAAATCCTCTTCAATTGGCCTTACTTCGAGTGCAATATGAGTGAGAGGGTCACTTGGCTAGATAGTGCCAGAGTCTGGATACAGCAGGGTCTTATGGAAAATATGCCCAAACTCCAGCCTTGTGTCCCATTCTATGCCAGTTTTTTTATTCAAGTTCATTAAAATATAATAAATTGGTGTTCACAACTCATCTGCCAAAACAATTTCATACAAATTAAACATATTTCCTAAGGAAGATGAAATTGCAATATTGTGAGTATATGTTGTATAGTAACAGATGTGGTGAGAAAACTTTGATGGCTATGTGGTTGGGTGGGAGGATGGTACCAATGTCAACAGCTGTAGCTTCTGAGAGAAAAGGCTAGAGAGAAAAGCAACTTGAAAGGAGAATCATTTGTTCTATGCCTCTATATTATAATCCCACACAGAAAATATTCCTATTGAAATGAATGGGAAATGTGACCTATTAGAGAGTGTGGAATTTAGCTTTTGATTTATTTTCCCTGTGATATATAATCATCATTGCCCATAGCAGGTATGAATTTTATTAACTTAATTTGCCATTAGTTCAAGAAGTCATACATTTCCTCAAAATAAACTAATTTTAAAAACTGAAAGAGCATTTCAAGCCTTAAAAATGCAAATATGTCATAGTTTGGCTGCATTCAGCAAATTCCTAGAATCAATCAGGCTAGAACAGAGTAATTCTATTACTGAGGAGGGAAGGGAAGCATGCAAATTGAAATCAGGGTAAAAAGTTAAATGTAAAAGAAGGCTTACAACATCTACAGAAGCATCTTACTTGTATGTTTATAACATTTTGATAATTTAAATATAAGACATAGAAAATATTTACATGTAATAAATATAACAGAATTTTTTTCTGGATGTGACTTAAGACATTTAAATTACTACAGAGATAGACTCAGTTTATTAAGCAGTGCATATCTTGGATCTGGTTAAATCATTGAAATAATAATAATTTTCATGCCATAACACTAAAGCATTTTTCAAAGTGCTTTTCCAGACCTTATCTCATTTTATACACCTGCACAAACACAATCCCTAAGATGTAAGTGGCATAGATACAATTATTATCCTTTTGTATATAAGAAAATGAAGGCCCAAAATTGAAGAGCCAGTGGGAAGCACCTAGGGAACTCAGGGCTACTCTTGGCACCACACTTCCCCCACCAACCTGCAGGAGACCAGAAACATGACACTCTGTGCAGGATTCAGCTGCTTTTCTGGCTCATTGCGTTGGCTTCACTGATTGAATATAGTTGTTAAGACTTTGGACCCTGAAGTTAGGACAGCATTGTTTCCACTCTTTGATCAACCATTTCTTAGCTTGAACTTGGGCAAATTACATAACCTCTCTGAGCCTCAGGTTTTCTTCTGGGAAACAAGAATTCCTGGACAAATCAAGTGGAATGATGTATCTAAAGAATGTAGTGCAGAATTAAACACCCAACGATTATTGGCTATCGGAATGCTCCATCCTTTGAAGAATATGGGACAGGTCAATGTCATGTTATCTTTGATGGGAAATTGGGTGTTCTTGAATATGCAGTGGATTTTTCTGTCATCTGAATCTATCCCTGTACAGGGCACTATGGTCTGATGACATGTGCAGGTTCTTACGAGAGCTCCATTAGAATGGGAAGCTCCAAGGTCAGAATGGTGCCTGCAGTCTGCATCGTTTATGCTTTGAGTGAACTGCAGGTGACTTTGAGGAACTAAAGAAAATAAATAGGTTGCAGAATGAAATACAAAACCAGGCACTAAAACCAATAGCAGAGAGATCAAGGGCCCCTGCAGAGGTTGCTGAATCACAGAAGATGCATAAAGGAGATAACATGAGAAGCTGAAGCAGAGCTTCAAAGGTGCACCTTTATGTGGGACCGTGTTCCCATCAGATGTCATAGGAGATTCCCAGCGCAGACTTCAGTAATTCTGGCATCACTTGCAGAGGGTGATAGGATTCCTCATACTGAGGAAATGCTTGGAAAGCTCCTCCCAACACCCCCACCCCTGCCACCACAGGTAGATGCAATCAGTAATGTGGTTTGGGCCAAATTTCGCTAATATTACAGGTAGTATAATCTTCCATTTAAAAAAATCTACCATTTTTAAAAGCCCTTTCATGCAAACAAACAGGATTGCGTTTAAGGGGTGATTAAAATGGAATGGGGTATGTGGTACTTGTCTAAATGTAATCTAACATCGCTATTCATTTAGTAAGGAGTCTAATTACTAGCTCTATAATCACACTACTCAAGAAAATTGTTTTAGTGATGGTTTTATTAAAGTAACTTGAGACAATTTTTGTGCCAACACGAGCAGAACAAATGGAATTTAATTTCAAAACAGGGGCAAAGGAAGGTTACTCTGGAGAAGAAAACCTCATGAGCTGGACTGCGGGCTTTAAAACTGGTTGCAGAGCAGAGTCCAGTTGGGAAAGAACAGGCTTTCCTTGCAACAGGAGAGATTTAGGTAGCCATTAAGCAGACTTCCTCAGATTTTAAAAAAGAATTTGCAAGGGACGTTCCATAGGCTCTAACTCTCAGATTTCAGTGGATCTATGATGCTTATTTCTTGCTTATTCTACACGAAACCTAACTCAAAGTGTGGTCCCCAGGCCAGCAGCATAGGCAGAACTGGGGAGTTTCTAAGAAATTCAGAATCTCAGGCTTAATCAGAATCTGCATTTTAAATGAGATCTCCGGGTGAACATATGCACATGACAATTCGAGGAGCACCGGTATAAATGACTAGCTTCTGGTTGCAAATTGGAATTTCAACTTTGGTCCAGTTTTAAATGTGACATATGCTCAGTAAATAAAAAAATATACACATGTGCATAATCATATAAGGAGGAAAAATGGATGTGTAATCCTACCACTCTGAGGCAACACCTGTTAAAATTTTGGTGATTTCTCGTCCAGGCTGTTGTTATGTATTTTATTTTACATCTTAAGCTCAGCCTGTAAATACAGCTTTACTCTTTTGTCATTTAATGTTATAAATATTTTCTATATTTTAATAAGGTGTTGCTGATGTTTGCATCCTACTATAGGAGTGTTAAAAAGTTATAGTCCCTTTTTGTTGTAATTATAAATAATCCTTTAATAAAATGTTCGTATTGAAACTTTTTATTTCATAAGCATAAATTCTTAGGATATGAATATATTTTGAAAGCACTCTCTCTCCTAATCAAACTATTCCTTGAAACGGGTGCATTTTTAAAGGAGCATTGAACTCTTAATATCCTGGATTTGTGGGGAAGGGCAAGGAGAGGGTCTAATTTGCTTAATTATTAAGCTTTCTGACAAAGTCTAACTTGAGTGGTCAAGGTGATATGGCAGAGGAACAGGGATTGCCTTACATAGACTCGCGGACTCAGCGAGCAAGAACAATTGACAGGCTCAGGCAGGGGATTCTTATTTGCCTCCTACTGAATATGAGAGTCACTTAATGGTGTGAGTTAAGTTTCTTCTAACTTCTTATAGTTGTGGGTTACTGATTTATTGACATGATTGAAAAATGTATATCTCCTATTTAAAATTAATTAAGAAATGAAATCCAAGTGATTTTCATATATAAATATTTATAAATAGGAGAAATTCACAACATGTGTGTTAACTCAAAAGTCAAAAATCATGGATATCGCCGTAACGAGTTTGGCTCAGTGGATAGAGCGTCGGCCTATGGACTCAAGGGTCCCAGGTTCGATTCCTGTCAAGGGCATGTATACTTTGGTTGTGGGCATATCCA